TACTACTGGGTCGTTGTTCCTTCTCCTGCCCTAGTTCCAAATGTGGCACTTGCGCCACCTCAGGTAGAGTCTTCCTGGTCTTCTTGTCGGCGGGTCGGTTCGCAGCATGCTGCTTCTTTTAGGAGGTCTGTAGACGCTCTCCCTTCTCCCAGAGACTTCAGGGAGAGTACACAGGAGCCGAGGATGTCAGACTTTACAGGCTACAGTATATCAGGACCTTCCTACGACTTATCTTTTTTGGTAGACCCCTATAGATCATTCTGTCCAGGCGAGTCTTCTGGTACCGGTGCCACTTTACTTACGGAGTTCTTTGGAGGGCCTTCGCACACACTACCGACTTTAGACCTTGTGCCTACGGAGTTCTCCTTCTTTCTTGAGAGCCACCCGACTTACTTTGCGGGCCCTTCTTTTGTCCCTGCCAGTTACCCGGCTGACTTCGCGGGCCCTTCCACAGGTACGCGATTATTATAAGTCAATTTATTTCAAATGCACTATTATAATATTTATTACTTGTACCATTTTGTGCAGTACCTGAGAGGTTTGACTACACTTCGGAGATCCACTGCCACGCTCTTCTACCTCCGACCCTTATGACCACTGACAAGTGCAACTACTTGGTAGAGCTTCTGAGGGATTTAGTCTCCAGCGTTAGCCTAGGGTCTCCAGAGTCTTGGATCGAGTTTACTTCTTCCGCCGACCAACTCCTTAGCCTACTTGTCAATTTTGGGGTGAGTACTATTGAGCTATACTTTTTTGGGAGGCAGTGTGTCGCGAGACAGAGTTCTGCATCTGGCAACTAAGATCTCTCTCGATCACTCGGGCCACAGTTACACTTCCACAGTTAGAGAAGATGGTTGCCAGTCGCAGGGCGAGGGCTGACGACGTCCACGACCGATTAGACCTCAGTGCAGAGGCTCTGAGGAGACACCGTCAGAGTTCTTCTTACATGGCTCAAGAATTAGATGTGCTGACAGCCCGCGTGTAGTATCTTTGGAGGGACATTGGGCAAGTAGTGTCTCGGGCGCTTCACGTACGGGAGAGACATGACTGATGGGACTGTCTCACTATGAGGGAGGAACAACGTCACCGGTCTTTACAGCAGGAGGTGATGGAGGTAGACTCCTCACTAGCATAGGCCGTGAAGTAGTTTCTGATCGCTCAGTCAAAGTTCTAGACTTTGGTTGAGATCACTAACAGGTTGGAGGGTTTACTGGCTCGCCTCTTTTGACATGTTCTCGTTTATTTTTTTTTTTTGTGGTTTGTACTCTTGCAGCATCTTGAGTCTCAGTGTACTTGTACCTCATGATGATTATTATATACATACACGAAGATTTTTTTTTTTTCTGTATTTCTCTTTTGTTGTACTCTGAGTTGTACTTTGAGCTGTGTTTTACTCTGAGCTATATTGTACTATGAGCTTGAATTTTAGACTTGTGTTGTTGGTATCATAAGGGATTTTAAATATTTATTTCAATATCTCGGCACGCAGCGCGATGTCGATCCAAAAAAATATTTTAAATTCCCCCTGTCCTCGAAGATAATTGTGAGCAGTGTCGCTTTAGCCACTAGTTAGAGTTAGTGGTCATAGCTTTAGCTCAAATTTCAAAATTTTTTGCTCTTTCTATCATGTGCTTTATGCGGCAGACTTGACGAAAGATTTGTAGTTTTTGGATTCGGTTGATAGTACCGAATGCGAGTAGCATCTTAATCCTTAACCACTTGAGGAGACTTTAATCTGAGTCACTTGAGTTTATCAAATTAGGAGATCTAGGATTTAATAGCTCTTTGTTATTTAGTTGCTGAAACGGGGTTCCTCTACTGCGGCCTTTTTTTATGGCGTGTTGAATAAACGGAGCTGCCAGCAATCCGACCATATTTGGGCGTGTTGAATATTGTCTTTTACACCCATTCAGGCTTCAGACTTGAGCTATGGGAGATGCTGAATCTACTGAAGTTTGTAGATTTGAAGTCATCCTTTGTGGTTGAATACTTGGAGTCTACGCACATTTAGTAAGTGCTCGGAACTCCTCATTTTCACTGGAATTCTGATTCTCCGGTCAATTAGGAGAGTCTTCTAGACTACGACTACTAGAACTCGTCGAGTCAAATTAGCCTTCATTCTTCCTACAGTCCCTACTGACGGGTTCACTAAGTGAAGGTTCCGCTACTACGGCCTTTCATATGGCGTGTTGAGTAGACGAAGCTGCCAACAATCTGGCCATATTTGGGTGTATTGGATCCGTCCTTTTACACCCATTCGAACCTTAAGCTTCAGGCTATTGAAAGACTTCAAGCTTTTCTAGCTCAATTTGTTGGAGCGTATAGTTAGAAAAGATCTCTTTTCTGGCTTTTGAAATTTTTATTATACTGGAAGGAGAGGTGTCCCGAACTTCAGAAAAATCACCCACATATATGCTGATAATAGAAAGTTGCCACATCCTGATTTAAAGGGATGTTCGTAGTTGATAATTTTAAATATTTATTTGGGGATCTCGGCACGTAGCACGATGTTAAACTGACTCATTGTTGTTCCGTAAATACCTCTGTATTAAGTTTTAAAATTTTTCGCTAAAGGTGGAAGCACTTGTGTGTTGCTTTTATTATACAAAAAGTTTGAAATTGAGATGGGCAGATTTTAGTATTAGCATGCATGCACAAGTTTGCTTCTTTGTTACTATATGTTTCGACCTTCCTTCATGGGCGCAGAGGAGTACAAATGTAGAGGTGCTCGATCTAGGGTTTTAAGAAAACAATCTTGATCTCTTTTGGTTCTTCACATACCCTATAGGTTCTAGGGCTCTTAGACGATTGTCAGCTTCAAGGTGCATGTGAGAAGAAAGATTAGTATGTGAGATTATTTATTGGTGTGAGATTTTTAAGCTGCTTCTTTTTCTTGTTCTTCTTGCGTGGGTGTACTTAGGAATTGGGAAAGGATTGGCGAACGCTTGTCCTTTTTTGTAGACCATGATTGTTTCTTGTATTTTTTTGGCTCATAGGATCCTATCTTCTTTTCCATGAATGTAGGCTTAAGTTTAAGCCAAACCACGTGAATCTTGTCGTCTTTGATTGTGTTTTTCTTTTTTTAAGTTGTGTTTAATTAAAGCACAGTGTTCTCTGTCTTGATTGATACTTCCACATCAGAGTTATTTGATACACTCATTAGAAGAATGACAATCAATATGCTTATCATATCATGGCATTATTTAGAAGATTAAGAGAAGACTAGGAAGATGGAGGCTTTGTTGAAAAGTTGAACAAAATGCTATTTGTCCTATATTAGTCACTTAAAAGAGGAGATATGACTCAAAGGGATATCACTTTCCTGCTGCTTGGTTACCTCAATTCTAACAAGTTTTGGGTTGGCTAGGGCAAACCCTAGAATAGTTTGTCTTGGCTTTAATGATGCAGAACAAGAATTCATTCTCAAGCAAAATCATAGAAGATAAGCATGTGAATCTCTTAGAATAGTGGATTACAATTCCAAGGTTGAATGAATGGCATTCTCCATATGGCAAAAGCAGCCCACATGCTAAATTGCAAGAGCCAGAGCGCAAGGCTCATTGCAAAGTCAAATCATGAAATACTTTTATGTAATTTTAACTTGTCATTTTTTAAAATTTTATTTTCACCTAGGCCCTAGGGACAAAGATTTGATGGCCACTTATGAAATCTTGTTGGAATTGAACAAATTTACTGCATTTTGTTGGAACTCTTTTAAGTGGTTAGCCCAAGACCGTTTAAATCTTTCAACTTCACACCACCAACTTCAAAATACATCTTTACACATCAGCCGATATCAGCCACCTAACCCATAAAATAGACCCGCTACCATCGCTTAATCATATTAAAATTTAATATGAATTTTGGTACCATATTTTATATTTTAAATTATTTCTGACTCTCCATTGCATTAGAATTTACAAATGATTATGACATCATCGTATGTTTATTTATTGATGGTCGTTGCCACTAGCTTGTATTATATGAAGCGCATACATTTCAAAAACATGCCTCGACAGATATTTATTTTTAAAAATTAAGTATGACGGTTTAATTTTTATTTTTCAAAAGCTGGAGTCACCCACGATATGGACATACCCCTATATGGTTGGGACATGTATTGACACCAATTGAACCAGCACAAATTGTAGTTATTATGAAGATTATATAAATTTTTTTGGCATTGTGTCGATAGTACAAGAATGATATTGATAAAATCATGTCTTATGATTAGTGTTAATTTTGATTTGTTGTTAGTAGTTATATACACAATGAAATATTGAAATGTAATTATAATTAAACAAATTGTTTTATTAGTTAAGCATTTATGTATTGAAAATATGAAAACATCACAAAAATGTAAAAAAATTTCTTGATCCAAAATGATTGTGAATCCTAGCTCATGCATTTTTTCTTTATTTCTTGCTTAGATATTCAAACCTTTTCATGGTGCCTGCTAGAGTTACTAGCAGAATTCTACCCTTTAATACAATCGTATTTCCCACTTTTTATATATATTATGTCTACGGGAGGGAACCTCTTTTTTTGTTAAAAAGGTTCTGATACTTAATTCATCTACGAGATTTAGAACCAAATAAATGATTCTTATTCATGTGGATAAATCCCAAATTTAAATTAAAAAATTATAAAATCGTATTTAACCAACACATGATATTATATTTTAATATGTGATATTTGTTTATGAAAAATATTGACATTATGCCTATGGATTGTGAAATTTATGTTAATTGTGTATAAGAAAATACTGAAGATTATTCCCATTTCTATCTTACTTTTCAATAACGTGGATTTCGGTAATTCTCTAATTCTCTCATGCTATTTGACTTCCAATGCATGCATCTGATTAGGATTATTGGCATTGAGAGCTTTTTTTTTTTTGCAGTTCCATATAAGAAGAGGTAGAGCAGCAAATAAATTTTATACAAAAACCTTGTAGTTGCTTATGAGCATTATTCTGTTTGTATGTTTATTGATGTCAGGCTGCCAAAATCTGTAATAATTTAGCAATGGCTGTAAGCATGCTTGGGGTCTCTGAGGCTCTTGCTCTTGGTCAGGGTTTAGGGATTTCAGCGAACACTCTTACTAATATATTCAATTCCTCAAGTGCTCGTTGTTGGAGCAGGTATGTTAATGTCACACTTGTATGAATATTCCGAGCAAAATAGAAAGTTAAGAGAATTAACTGGTTAAAATTTATCTTCCTGATTTTTTTACACTAACAGAAATTTCTAAGTTTACTAGAATGCTACAGTGACAGTTATAATCCAGTCCCAGGAGTTATGGAAGGAGTGCCTTCTTCAAGGAGCTATGATGGTGGCTTTTCCTCAAAACTTATGGTAAATAAATAGTTTTTGCTCCCTTCTCAACACACTATGACTATATTGTGCTTGAAAATTGATTAGAAACATTGTGCTTTAGCAAATGATCACTAATGGCTATGAAGTTTGAACAATTGCTATTTTGTTGAATGTTGTTCGCTCAAGAAAAATGATCGACATGAATTTTGCCCTTTTGAAGTTAGGGTTTCATTCTTCATGAGGTAGATTAATTATTAAATAACCAAATTTCCTCTAATTTTAAATGAGGGTTTTAACTAGATCCAGGGTCTCAGTATCCCAAGAGTACAGGCCTTCATAGTTAATTGCTCCTAGTCGTGGGAGAGCACTCTTGATTAAGGATGGGGGATGGGTTACTTTGATATAGTTTTGGATTTAAGCTTGGTAATCTAAAAATTGTTTTAATTAGTGAGAGAGGTTTTTAGGGAATGAAGGTAGACCTGATCAGGATCCTATAGTTCCGTCATCTCGGGTATACCAATAATTCTCTGTTTGCCAGTGTTAGCATCTTATAGGCCGTAACATTTAGAAAATCTGATTAGCAATCATGTGTTTCCTTCTCTCAGAGATCCTGAATAGTCCATGGTGGTTGAGATTAGACTTTGGATTATTATAATTTGATTTTGGGGATCATGTTTATTAGAAGGCCCAAATATTTTGCTTAGAATGAGTCTTGTTAATCCATTTAGGAATTGCCTGTTTATCTTGAAGGTGGGGCTTATTGCTCCCTCTAGGAGTTCCCTGTTAATTTGTTTGATAATGAGGCTTATTGCTCATTTTAGGAGTTGCTCGTTAATTTGTTTTAGGATGGGGCTTATTGCTCTTGTTAGGAGTTATCCGTTAATTTTTTTGAGGATGGAGCTTATTACTCCTTTTAGGAGCTGTCCATTAATTTCTTTGAGGATGGGGCTTATTGTTCCTTTTAAGAGTTGTACGTTAATTTGTTTGAGGATGGAACTTATTGCTCCTTTTAGGATTTGTCCGAATGTTAGGTCTTATAACCTAGCTTTACAAGCGAGATAGCCCGATAGATTGATCTTGATATAAATTGGGTTTTACATCCCTTGACTTTTAAGTTTATTTAAACGAGTCATTATTGTTTGTATTTGATCCAAGCCATTAAACAAATGTTTGGTAAGTAACTTTGTATGACTTCTAATATATATAGGTTGCCAGTGGCTTCATGTTTATGTTTTAATAATTTTAACATCAAATGACAAATTTCTTTTAGTTGTATGTTATGCAGTGTTTGATTTTATATATATATATATATATATATATATATATATATATATATTGTTTACGGGTATTAGAGTTAGCATCAATTAGAAGCCAATAGTCTAGCTAGCACTGTAGTGGTTTGAATGATTGAACAATTGTAATAAGGCTTTATTTAGCTCAATGACATTTATATTTGACAATTTATTGCATTAGCATACTGACATCAAAAATTGCCTTGATCCAGCATGAATCTCAAGATATCTTAGTTGGCAACTTTTGAAATTAAACGCAGGATCATCCAAACTCCAATTTTAGCAAACTTATAATGAAATTGAACGTCTCAATGAGACGAAACCAACGGCACTAAATTCGGTCCAATCCGAGCCCAAATGAGCATAAATCAATGAACCAAATCATATTTGGAAGCTTCAAAGCATAAATTGGATGATTAAATGATCTCCAAATATGGCGTGCTTATAGTCAAATCGAGCGGCTTTATGAGATAAATCCAACGAGTCCAAGATCGCTTAATTTTGACATCATTAAGACACTTAAATGTTGCATGAACACTCTATAATTGAAGGAATTGATATAAACCGTCCGATGGAGCACTCCGAATTCGGCCCGAATCTTCTCCATATTTATAGAGCGCGCCGCTCACAAAAATTTATAAATAGGCTCATGCTCTCTTCGTAAAAGGACACTTTAGCTGTGAAGCTCTGTAGCTTCAAGGATCCTAGAGTTCTAGCTAAGGATCACCGCTGGCAAACTTTTGTCAACCACAGCCCGGCTGCCGACTGTCGTCGGACCTATCCTCCGACCGTTGTCGGACCACCACCCATCCATCTACTATCGTCGTAACACTGCCTGTCTGCCCACTGTTTTTGGACCACCGCTCGTCGGCTGACTGTCGCTAGATCATAGCCCAGTCGCCTACCGCAGTCGGACCTCTGCTCGTTCTCCAAAAGTCGACTAATGCTAGACCTATGCCCGGCCATCGACCGTCGCCGGACTACCGGCCTTCCACCAATCACTGTCAGATCTCGGCCTAACCGCCCATGTTGTCAGACCACCGCTCGTCCTCCCACCACTGCACTACCATCGACCGTCGCCAGACCTCGACTCTGTCGTCGACTAAGCTCCCTCTAACCACCGTCAACCGTAGACTATGATCCCTCCGACCTCCATCGCCTGCCAACTGGGTCCCTCCAACAACGTTTGCCCGTCGATTGCGGTCCTTCCAACCTATGTCGCCCGCCCGCTACCGTCCCTCTTATCTGTGTTGCCTGCCGACTACTGTCCTTCCAACCACCATCGCCCGTCGATCACGGTCCCTTTGACCCTCGTCACCTGCGTATTACAGTCCCTCTGAGCTTCGTCACCCCCAAAAAATGGTCCCTCTGAACACCGTCGCCCATTTACTATGGTCCATTTAACCACCGTTGCCTGCAAACTACTGTCTCTCCAACCACCATCGCCCACAGACTATTGTCCTTCCGACTACCGTTTCTCGCTGACTACGATCCCTTTGACCTCTGTTACTCGTCAATTATGGTCCCTCCGACCTTCGTCGCCCACCAAAAAATGATCCCTCTGACCACCATCACCCGCCGATTACAGTCCCTCCTACATTTGTTACCCGCCAAAAATGATCCCTCTGACCACTGTCACCTACCGACGATTGTCCTCCGGCCACCGTCGTCCATCGACTACGATCCCTCCGACCACTGTTGCCCGCCGATTATTGTTCCTTCGACCACTTCCACCCACCGACTACTATCCCTATGACCATCGTCGCCAGCCGACTGTAATCCCTCTGACCTTCGTCGCCTGCAGACTATGGTCGCTCCAACCGCCTTCGTCGGCCGACTATGGTCCCTCCAACCTCCGTTGTCCGCCGATTATGATCCCTCCGACCTTGGTCGTCCGCCGACTGCAATCCCTTTGATCACCGTCGCCCACCAACTACAGTCCCTCCGACCACCATGGCCCATCGACTGCAGTCACCTCGACCATGATTGCCCGCCGACTACGGTCCCTTCGACCGCTGACTACGGTCCATTTGACCAAAATTGCCCGCTGGTTACGATCCCTCCGACCTCCGTCGTTGACCGACTATGGTCCTTCTGACCATGGTTACCTGCCGACTACAGACCCTCCAACCATCGTTGCCCGACTACAGTCCCTCCAACCTCCGTCACCTGATTACAGTTCTACTAACCAAATGAGCAGCATGACATTCTCTTGAGAATAACTCTCATATCATTGGAATCTTCCAATCCCAACTATGTAATATGCTCTATATGATGTACATTGAGCCAACGCCTTCTCCTGAGAAAATGTCATTATTTGTAATCAACAACAAACGCTAATGGATTCATTTCAACTGAGTTGGGACCTGTAGTTTTTCTCCCTTTTTAGGGTTTTCCACGTGAAAATTACGATGTCTTTTATGACTCTCGCACCACTTTCTCTTATTTGTCTGTGTGCTGGATCTTTGTACAAATCTTGGTCGCTAAACTATATTTTTCTCTACTGTCGTGAATGTTTTAGGATGCAACACATATTTTTTTCCACTTTATTTTTATTCTTTTTTTAATAGAGTTCCTTGAAATTTGGACAGCCTCTTGACATCCCACCCCCACGTAGGGGGTTGTCGAGTAGGCATTTGCCTTTATTCATCCCAGCCGGATCAAATATACAACGAATGCAGGTCTTCATGTCTTCGTGTATGTCAATTCAGTATCGTGTAATTTGGTTATAATTAATTTTATTTAATTGAGGAGGATATCATTCATTACTATGTGCAATTGAGCTCGGGTAAGGCCGGTTGAGTGTGTAGGTCGTTCACGTGCAAACCAAGTTGTGAGGGGAGTCACGAGGGGCTGGGTTGGGTGGGCATCTGCTTCGGTCATGGTCGCGGATCGGCAGGAGGCAGGAGACATCCGCATGGGCAAGATGTTGAGCAGGGTTGCGAGTTGGGTCTTAGGACAGGCCAACATGGGTGCAGGTGAGGGTCGGGGTCGACAGATTAGGCGACTAAGAGGTCATTGCTGGCAGGTCGTAGGAATGGCTAGTGCGGGAGCAGAAGCAAGGGTCTAATCAGAATCGGGCCATACAACACGTGTGCAGGGCAAGACAATAGCGGACTCAGGGGATGGATCGGGTCGCGCTTGTGCAGGGCTAGGCATGAACGAAAGTCGGGACGGGCTATGAGATTGGAGACCCTGAAGCACGCGCAGCTGCGATCTCATGTCAGGGTCATGGAAGCGTGTGAGCATTGGTCTCGGGTTGAAGTCGCAAGAGCACATTGACGGGATCAGGCGAGAGCGAAAGTGCGGGCGCGTGTTGAAGTCGTTGGAATCGATGAAGTTGCAAGTTTGGAGTGTTCGCGCGAGAGGCCTACTTGCGGGAGGAAGATGCCGTTTGTAGGAGTTGGGGATAGCCCTTAACGTGAAGCTCCTTTTTTTTATCCGTGCGGTTTGTTTTGTTCACGATCGTGGGAGGTTAACGAAATCCCAATTATACGAAAGCTATAAAAAACGGAGAGAGCAAAATAGAACAAAAAATAGTAAAGAAAATAAACGCAAAAAAAAAAAAAAAAAAAAAAAAAAAACACTAGAATTTTATGCTGGCTCACTCAAATGATGCCCCTTTCCCCCTTCAAAGAAAAAACTAGGGAAATCAAAATATAATAAAACCTTAACACCTTCGATGAAATACTGCAAATATTGGATATCTTGGTGGCTTCGCTCTCAAAATCACGTGAGGGGATTCCTCACCCCCCTTTCAACCCCTATGACCACTTTTAATCAAGTATGTGTAGCATATTTTCTTTGCAAGGCAATAACATCACAACTTAACAATTTCATCACAGCAGCATCAAGTATTCTTTCTGTTATCAGCTTAGACTTATGTGGCGCCTTCAATGTGCAGGCCAAAGACTTGATGCTGGCAAAGGCATCAGCTGAAGAGATTCAGCAGAAATGTCCTCTCGCATCCGAAGCACTCAATATGTTAGTTACCTTCCCTCGCTGCAGAACTCCAAATTCTCTTCTGAATAACTCATAGATTTACTACTAATGGAGAACAATTAATTGCTTGCAGATATATGGAAATGTGCAGTAAGGGCTTCGAATCCAAAGATTTTTCGTGCGTTTTCAAACATTACTACTCTGGCAGTCATAACTTGTAAGACCATTTAACTTGAAGTGACTATTCTTTTTTCCTGTTTCCACAGCATTGTTTTTACTGTTAGTATTGTGATTTGGATGCCCTGCACATCGGATTTGCCAAAATTTGAATTTCAAGCAAACAATTTAAGCCAATTTTTTAGCTGATATAAATTTTAGTTGTGTCAAGATGAGCTGATTTCTAATTCAATTGAATTCATTATGAGTGATTCAGCTGGGAGTAAAAAATGTGTTTGATTATGCTTTATGCTTCCTAATTCCACAATTCAGTACAGTAGAATCAGCTTTTAGGTTTTTGGGAAAAATTATTGGTTGTTTTTTTCCAAGGTTATGAAAATTGAATTAAACTGGAAAAATGAAATGTTCAAGATTCGATGGTTAAACGGGGTTAAACTGGGAGTTGAAATGAATAATATAATTTATATTTAAATTATTTAAATATGATATAAATGATATAATAATAATATAATAATGATGTAATAATGTAAATATATGATAGAAAATAAATAGAATTTATATACAAGTAATAGTTTTAATTGTGAATTTAAACAGCATCAATATTTGTGAAGCTTCATTGATGTTAAAGAATCTTGATAGCAACATGGTGTTACAAGTTTACAACAAAAGCATAAAACAAGGAACTGACATTAAAGATGCATTTTGAAGATATATTTCTTTACCTAAGCATTTTTATCTAGTTTCACATGCAATGGATCAATAGATTGTAAAACATGACAAACAAAATAGAAGAAAAATTTGCCAAGGTTGTTTGGATTCAAGTTTGTTTATGGAAGATACCCGATCTTATTAGCAGGCAAGCTTAAGAGGTTGAAATCTAAAGACTTGTGATGAGTATGGAAAGAAGAAAGAGATTTATGGAAGAAAATATTTTATTAGCTCAACAAAGCTTTTAGAATGTGTCAAAAGATCTAAAATGCTGATTCGGGCCGGTTTGATGAAAAGCCAGTTATTCCGGTTGACCAGACCGGCCTATTGACTGCTTTAATATTGAATAAGTTGAGCAATCCAGCTCAATTCGATTCGGTCTGATTTTTAATTCCTTGGTTCGTTTAACTGCTAGATTGACATTCTGAACAGTGGAGTTTAGTTTTTTTACGAAATTTTAATTGTGAAAATGCTCTAATCAGTTAGCCAATATTAGTTTAGCTGTAAAACAGTTATTAAATTAGACTAATTAAATGATTAATTGAACAGTGATTTAGCTACTTAATTTAGTATCTAGTAATATCTTAAGTAATAGTTAAAATAAATAATTATATTACATAGAATAACGTTCATTAATTGAAAATAATAATCAATGCCAATATTTAGATCAGTTAGTATTAGATTTATTAGTCAAATTATTGATTTTTTTGGTTAGGAATCAATTACAATAATTAATTTTTACTATGAAATACAGCTATAAGGCATTCTAATTAGTCTTTGGCAATAAGTAATTAAATTAAATGATATTTTTATTAGGTATTAATTAGTGATTAAGAAATTAAAATGAACATATTAGTATGATAAGATGAGTTCATTAGTCTCCCTTAATTCATTAAACGCTAAAAAATCTACATAACAAGAAGAAATCATATAGTTGTCCGAAATCATTTTAGTCGCTATTTTAGATTTTTTTTAATATTTTAGGAGTTTCAAGAGTTATTTTTTGACATTTTATGCTCAATTTTGGTGCTTCTTTGAGCGTGAATGGAACTTATGAAGACAGTTTAGATCAATTTTAGACAAATTTAAGCCAACTTTTAAAATTGTTCATGTTGCAAGGAATGATGCTAACCTCTAAAGCTTATGCACTCAAGAAGAGAAAGTCCATGTTCATATTCAATGACTAATTGTGCCTTGAAATTCCTACCATATTAAAATTTTAGATGAAAACTATATTGCCACCCCATGCATGCACACGTGGTATCTCATCGCTCCTATATTGCTCTCTCTAAAAAGAGTCCATTTTGCCCTCTCCTTGTGATGAGATACTCTAATTTACATATAATTAAAAAAAAAAAAAACTTTGCGAAAAAATAAATTAGCTACTACAAGGGATGTGCAATATTCTTATAACACCATCAACATCAAATCTTTATCTCACTATATGACATCAATTACATGAATAATATGTAAATTAGAGTGCTTGATTTGACCCTATATTTAATAAATTAAAATCCTTTTTAATACTTCATAATCAAATATTTTTAATTCTACATCAACTTTTCTTAACACAAGCAATGAGAAATATTTTTGAATAATTCAGAATACACATTTAAATATTGATGCATCCAATAATAATGAGAAATCCACATTAGACCAATAAGGTACTTCTTGTAAATTCCGGGTTTCATCCTCTTTTCTACATATAATAAATTTAAAATATTTATGTATTATAAAATTCATTTTTTTCTAAAAAAAGTTCTTAGAAAAATTTACATAAAATATTTTAAAATTACATAAAAATATATTACTAATATAAATTTATTTAAAATTAACTACATATTTTCATCATATATTATTATATTATGAAAATACTTAAATATTATATAAACAAATATAAAATTTTAAATCTTAGATATAAATAAATAAAATTTAGTGATATGTATGCTAATCCCCCAAATTAATTACAAATATTTTAAAAGATGGGATTTAATTAACAATGCAGAATATAGTATTACAACCTTAAATAGCAAGCTTAAGGTAGCATTATGCTTCTCTCATGAACAATCCTAGATTTGTTGTTCAATATTTTATTAAACTGTTATTAGCACATGAGAGTGCTTGATTTGACCCTATATTAGATAATTAAAGAATCTATCAGTATTCACTAAAAAATTGAGACAATGAGGAGAAAAGATGGATCAGCCATATAAAAATATCATTTCACAAGATCATAACATCACAAGCCACAAGCCATCAAACCATTGATACATAACATCTGTAGCAATCTAGTTTCAACAAGTCCACATGCAAGTGATAATAATGTTTATGGTACTTCCTTGCAGGCCTTATGTATTACTGTATTAGTAGTGTAGGGTAGGGGCCCTTGCAAGGAAGTCCAGTTCATCAAAATGTAGGCAAAGCAGCAAACCAATTACTACCTGAGTTGCAACAAGCAAACATATAAGGGATTTTGCTGGGTTTATGTAGTAGGGTAATGGGTTTCTTACACAAATGACCAGTTTAGGAACATGAAGGCTAAGCAATGATGTGTGTCCTCTTCGTCTATGACCTTCCACACAATGACCTGATCGTAGGATGCAGGTCTTCCCATGCTTGACAGACATACACCGCCAGGTAGATATGCAAATCCCTGAAAATATGTATTAAATGCGATATCTTTAGCAGTACTGTGGCAATGGGCAAATTATTACGTGCGGTGTCAGGACCATCCGGAGGCGAATCCGGATATGCCACGCCACCCGGATGCATCGGGGTCGGGGTGACGTGACACGTCCGGATTTTCCTCCGCACGTAATAATTTGCCATGGCAATGACATCTAAAACAGTCTATGTTCACATTTCTTTTACCTGCTGCATGATTTTAGAGAATTCGGTGCAGAAAACCTTGCGGCCGTTGTCGTCGAGAATCTTCTCGAGGGTTATGTCCTGAAGGGCGATGAGCGTAGTTTCGAGCATGTCGAGACCTGCTTGATTTGCAAATGTGAACACTGGAGAGGACTGCAAAGTTGACATGATATTAGATATTAGCTTGAAAGAACATAAATAGCAGAAGGTAATGGGTGAAAAATAATTGTTACCTTTACAGTACAGCACATGATTGCATCAGGATAATGCCACAGGAGTTTCAATAATGAATCGCCTGCTTGGGGTTCATCATCTGGCTCAGAACGGAAGAGATCAGCACCAGTATGAAACCTACATATGAAAATTGCAAGGCCAGTAAACAATTGAGGTTTCAGTGAAAAATGCTAGCAAATTAGTTGTTGAAGATGTGACTTTCAGAGTCCAAATAGGAAAGTTATCTAATGACATAAGACCATTTAGAGCAACAATTTATTCACAAAGTCCGACCTGATAGAGAAGGTACAATCAAGGATCTATAGCTAAATACTTAGCAGGTCACAGCCTCAGAGGTGCGGTAAATCCACAACACCCTATGAGTCTAATTGTTAATGACACAACTCGACACCTATGTTGCACCAATACGGATATGGCGACACAGATACGACACAATACAGATACAAGACACGTCAATTCTTAAAAATGCAAGATACGGGTGCGGCGCAGACACAGCTTTATAATTTATAAATCATACATAAAAATTAAGAAAGCAATCAAAGAATAATATTTCAAATTATAAAAAAAAAAATGAAAGCAACATCATTTGTAGCATTGTAACTCATAATATCAAAATAAAAGCATTAAATGTCTAGTACAACAATAAAAAGCATAAACATAAATTGTTTAGCACATGAAGTTTTAACTATTCAATAGAAAGAATGATATGATTAGCTTCTTTAGTGACTTGTCTTTGAACTTTTATATCGTCTTCAATAAATGTCATAGCTTCTAATTCAGGCTCATAAAATGAAAGATTAGTAATTTCTAATATTCCCGTATCATCAAGAGACTCAAATCCATCTCGGAAATGAGAGAACATCACTCGCATCCGCGGAAGTAAATACATAGGGTCCTTTTTTTGGATTTTTTTATTTTTCAATGGACGCGCGTATTGGATACACATGTCCTTTTGAAATTAAATAGTATTTTAATTGGATACGGCTTTGCCATATCCGACATGTATCAAAGGCGTATCCATGTATCGGTGTATCGGATACGTGCCTACATAAATAGGAGTATCGGTGCAACATAGCTCAACAATCATGGCTCCCAAGAAATCTAAAATCTCTTATCAGGCGTGCAATTAATGAAGATTCAACATTTCACTGACTAGAATTCATATAAACTGGCAATTAAACCATTATGATGCACCTTACTAGTTTGTTGTCCAAGCCTGCTAGTACTTAGCAACTTTATCAAGTTCATAATACAAAATGAAAAAAAAAAAGAGAAATATCCTTACTTGTAACTGCGAGAAATCCACCGTGCCAAAGTGAGCCCCTCGGGGGACCCTGTCAAATGCTTTGACCCAAGAGAACCAATACGGGAAGGAGAGATCGCCATGGCAACCCTTTGCACAGAAGCGACAACACTGCGCACATATTGTCGAGCCATGGCAGCCATATTTTCGCGGAAATGATTTTCATAAGTGAACTGGAATGCTATAGTCAAGACAGATCTTAGATTAGACATATTTGAGGCTCCCTCTGTAGCTGGATGCGTCGCACCACCTGAGCCAACTTCTAATGCAGATGCAAGGTCAAGGGTTCGAGCAGCCGCATGCACCTCCTGCAATGAAATGATAATAGTTTGATCTCATCAAAAGCTATAGAACAAACTGAGTAAGTGATCAAAATGATTTCTAAATTTATTAAGCATTTCTATTTGTCTCAAATTTATTCGAGTGCTTAAATTAGAATCTAAATTCATCAAATCTAAAACCAAATTTGTCCCTATCATCTATTTTGTTGTTTCTTTAAACAAAAATCAGTTGAGAGGAAAAGCTTTTACTGTATGGCATTTTAAAAATTGTTGGCCAATCTCATCACATACTACTAGCTCGACTGAGGAAACTCTCCCTAAAAACTTCAAAATTCTATCATTAAAATCTTAACTTCATCTATTTTCATCCAAAAAAACAAAACCAAAGTTGATAATCGAACTAAATTAATTCAAATTTAGTGAGTCTAAATGCCGAACTCAACAACAACAACAACAACATCAAGCCTTTGTCCCACTATGTGAGGTCGGCTACATGAATCCTTTTTTCTCCATTGTGTTCGATTAAAAGTCAAATTCTCGTTTAAATCTAATACAGAAAGATCATTTCTAATATTTTCTAACCAATTCTTTTTAGGTCTACCTCTACCTTTCTTAACATAAGTCAAATCTAATACCTCTACTTTCCTAACAGGGTCATCGGAAGGCTGCCGTTTTATGTGACCAAACCATCTAAAGGCTAAATGGACACCACAAAAGACTATGGACTATTTTAATCATTTACTTGCAAAAAATGAATGCAACAAACACTAATTTTTTGCAACCAAAATAGAACCAAAAAATTCAAAATTTAACAATGATATTGCAATATGAAGATGCATAGAACAAGTTAAATAACTCGAGCATCACTCACAAAAAATGAAAAAAGAATGAGGATTCATAACCCCAAAAAGTAAATAGTTGGAATAAGGCGAATGAAGCTAATGATGAACCAATTTTAATAAGAAAAAGGAAAAAAAAAAAGAAACTTAAACATGGCGAAGATATTTGGAAGGTTATAACAAAGTTAAGGTTAATGGAGTCACTCAACTGTTTTAGATTCCAGGGGGATCACACGAAAACCAGAAGGAAGTAAAGGGGCATCATCAGCAAAAGATTCATCAATTGGTGCAAACACAAGTTGAGAACATGCACCAACAGCATTTTCATCAACTCCACTGCATAGCTGCACAATTAGGAAGATAAGTGCAATAAAATCAAGGCATAGATTCAACATCAAATCAAAATAATATTGCAATTATCAATGAAACATACCTGCAATAGATACATGTCCCTAGCTACATCATCCTGGCTAAAACCATGGCCTTCTAGTCTAATCACCTCCAAGAACTGGAATTCAATTTCGAGTAAGACACTTTGATGCCCAATAAAAAATGGTGATGAGGGCTGTCTGTACTTACAAAAGAGCCTCAATTACCTCTTCATTTTCCACAGTTTGTGCAAGGGGCAAAATAACCTGACCACCATGAAAACTTCCACTAGCTCTCACGCCAAGGATGGGATAAGAGCTGGCTCTCAGTGATGCCGTAGAATATGCATCGGCTCCATAGTCGGCCCACTCTGAACGGTGTTCCCTCAAAAAACGAACGAGTAAGGCAGACGGAACATTCTGTAGTCAAAAAGCATGAAAACATAGTATTAGGATTGATTTAAAGCTGCACAATTAAAAATATGAGATTAGTTTTGATGATAATAAATAATCAGGTAAAATCATGAAATTCATTAAGATAATTTGCTATTTAGCACAAAATCAAGTCAAAGTTGAATCAGATTTTGATTTGAAATCAACTCATTATATCTCTAAAAATACCCGTAAGACAGCTTTTGGCTGTAGGTTAATTCCTTTGGCAGAAGAGTTGATTTCAAGGAGTAAAGACTTCTTGGAGGGGTATTTTTTTGGAGTGAAACCAGAAGACAAATCTTGATGAAACAAAAGCTCAGTAAAAAATTTTCACTTCAATTCTAAGGTGTGTAACGGTATTATCATTTTGAGTAACATTTGAAGGGGGTAATTTTTTATTGATATAATTTGTTTTTCATTATCTTTGTCAAGTTATTTTCTCTTTTTTTTTGTTTGACACAATGGAGAGAAATAATTCATATAGTCGAACCCAAATGATGGGATAATGGCTTGATGTTGTTGTTGTATCTTTTTTGTGCCCATGTTATTTATACACTTAAGTGGCTTCTCTAAGGTGGATTCGATCCCTCCTATGGAAGAAAGCTAGATTCAAGCAAACTACATAAATCTTAATGCCTTTGTGATGTTGTCATTAATTTGTGTTTTATCATTTAAGATTCAAATAGGCCTTTATGCATAAAAGTTTGATATTTCTCCCAACACATTTTTCTAAATAAGCAAAGGACAATAGAAAATTCTCCTAGGGATTACATCGCAAAATAAAATGTGATGTAATTCAGTTTTCTTAACTCTCTTTTTCTTTCTTGTGATTTTCTTCATAATAGAAATATGGGGTATGATTAACAAGATAAATGGCGATTTCAAGCTCAATGGTAACTCCAAAATGTAGGATTGAGGTAGAATGAAGAAGATAATTCTATAAGGAGAGGAATTCATTTCATTCATTCCTCCTAATAGCCTAGAATAAGTATATTTATAATTTTATAAGGACTCATAAGACACCTTCACTGCCTCTTTTATACTATGATACCCATTATAGACCCATAAATTTTGAAACCCATCAACTCAATCTAATAACCCACTACCGTTATTGATCTTAACATTAAGAGACCATTTAAAATCTACTTGGCCCTAAAGGTCAAATCACATAACATAAAAGGGCAAAACCACATAAGATATCCGTGCAAAATTGTCTAGTCATGAAATGCAAGCATTAATTTTGGTGAATCTGCATGTGGTGGGCAATTATCGAGCCAAACTTATTTTAAAAAATTTGATTGTGATAATCAAGGTGGTGGTCACACATAGGGGTGCAAACGAGTCGAGTCGAGCTCGAGTCAGCGGTTGTTCGAGCCGAGCTCGTCTGAAAAATGTCAAGCTCGAACTTGAGTCGAGCTCAAAAGTCGAGCTCGATCTCGACTCAACAGAGTAAAAAAAAGCTCGTCGAGCTCTCGAGCAGCAGTTCGAGCTCGGACATGCCCGCGTCGTCTCCAGTTCTGTGTCGTCGCCAATGCCGCTTCGTCACCAGTTCCGCGTCGTCACTCGTCGCTAGCTGCTCGTCGCCAATGCTGCGTCTTCGACAGTTCTGCCTTCCGCGTCGCCACCAGCTCCGCTCCTCGCCGCTTGCGTCTGCGTTTAGAGTCAATGTTGCGTCCGTCGCCAACATTCGCATTCGCTGCCGGCGTCGACGTCCGCTTCCGGCGCCAGCGTCCGCATCCGCTTCCAAGTCGTGAGTTGAGTGCCTTGCCGCCAGCTTCTGCGTCGTCAAGCTCGCTAGTCGAGGAACTGATTTCATATTCCCGCCGCAATTTCATTTTTCCCGCTGGCGAAACAAGCAGCTCGAGGAGCTGTCGAGTCGATCAACCGGTTGTTCAAGCTCGAGCTCGATAAGCTATCGAGCTCGAAATTGTGTTCGAGCTCGACTCGCGAGCTCGATAAGCTCGGCTCGTCGAGAGCCGGGCTCGGCGGGCTTGTTATCGAGTCGAGCTCGAGCCGGCTCGCGAGCCGGCTTGACTCGGTTGCACCTCTAGTCACACATCCCTTAACTCCTACATGTCGTGTAACTACATCAATGTCAATGTAATCATATAGTTCAGGCATTAAGTATCTTCTATATAAAAAAAAAAGAAGGCAATATAAAATCTAACGATGGAGCAAGATAAAATACTTAGATTCCAATTAAAACACGCAAGAAACAAGAGCAAGTGCTAGCCATTCATCATGTACACAAATTGCAATTGAAAATTTTATTGGATGCACATGGGTTAATACTGTGGTTGTTGGACTACAGGAGCAGGAAAGGCTGTGTATATGTCTAGTTGAATAACATATGGAGCTCAAACAAGCACTTTTAGAGTTCAAATGCAACACCAAACCATTGACAAACTTAGAAACAATGTGTCTGGTCTTATGAAAGATGGGTAAGATGTTGTTTAAGTTTTTGAAAATAAGAGTCGACATCTAGAGAAAATTCTAAGTAGCCCTATACTTATGAATGGTAGTATGCTTCTAAAACTAATGTAATTTTTATTTTTAAATTATTTCTAACGCAATGCATGCTAATTGAAATGCCACAAATCATGAACGCTTGAATTTTTTTTTTTGAAAAAGGATTAAAATCTATGATGCACCGACACGGCACTTAGGGTATGCAGTGTCAGACACGGACACACGTCGGACACGGCATGGACACGTGTCCGACACGGCATTGGAGTGTCGCAATTAAAAAAATTAAAATTAAAATCGGACACGCGTGTCGGACACGCGTATCCAGTTATTAAATGAGGTATATCGCTAAGTACATGCTCGGTATTGCTCAGTACATGCTCGGTATTGCTCAATACATGCTCGGTACTGGTCAGTACATGCTCGGTATTGCTCAGTACATGCTCGGTACCGCTCAGTACATGCTCGGTACTGCTAGGTACATGCTCGGTACCGCTCAGTACCGCTAGGTACATGCTCGGTATTGCTACGTATATGCTCGGTACTGCTAGGTACATGCTCGGTACCACTCGGTATCTTCCCATACAAATAACTTACAAAAATTAAAAATAAGCAGAACTTCAAAATTATTGCAGGTCGAACCCCGCCAGGGGCAGCGCCCCCTTGGACCCCCGGCAGACTGGTATATTGTTGTATTCATGTTGTTTTATTATTGGGATATGTTGTTATGCTACTGGCAGGGGTGGATTAGGTGAAGGTTCAAAAGAAACCGTGTCCTATATTTTTAAAAATTATTATATATTATATTAAAAAATATTATGCCGTGTCCACGCCGTACCCGTGTCCTATATTTTTAAAAATTGTCGTGTCCTGTGTCCGTGTCGCCGTGTTCGTGTCGGTGCATCATAGAATTTAAAATATATACGTTTTAAGAAGATTAGGCTTCCCCGGGTTAAACACCTCATCGTCATAGGTTAGATTATCTAAACTACATCCTAAGGAGGGGAAGTGTCTATACTAGGCTAGGAAGACCTATGCACTATGGATGAGTTCAGAGAAATCGACCTCATATAAAAATGAGGTCAACAAGATCAAGTCAAATGATGTCTAAAAAAGAGATGGAGACGATAAAACTTGTGGAGATCCATGGTTTCAAAAAATCTACCACAATGTTCTGTGGGATGGATGCAGCCTATGTATGGAGCATGAATATATAAGTGGGAGGCAACCGATGTCAAGGACATTATATGTTATAGAGGGAAGAGATTAAGCACAATGGGTTGAAGACTGATATGAGATGTGTAGAATATAAAAATGAATCAAGAACCATCAAGCAAGATCAACCCATAAGCCTGTGCATCCAAAGCATGTTGCGATAAAGGGGTGCTGCAAGAGTGGGCTTAACATGAGTGTGTGAGCAACAAATTTGCAATTTCAGTCCTTGCCACAAGCTCAGCAAATTGACAAGAAGTAGAACTTCAACCAAATCAGCGAACCACAAAAAAAAATTAGGAAGAGGAACACACCACAAATCTTTTTATTGTGGAAAATATGAAAGAAAATGACAGGAAACAATAGATCTTCAATGGGAGAGAAAGATACAGCTCTCCCAAATCCCTAGCCGCCGGCTATAGCCCTCACAACCTAGAACAAACTAAATTCAGTCAAAACATAACATAACCCTAGGATAAAGAATCCTATTTATCAAACCAAATTAGTAAAAAATCCTAAACAATCCTCAAATTGAATTTCCCTCCTAAACTGCCCTCCTCTCTCTTCATTAAGCAATGGGCCCCATCCCAAGGGTGGGCAAACCAGGAGTCCGCTTGGTACAGAATTTGGCATGTCCCTTCTGGACTGGTCCCTCCTGAAGAGGTCTAACACAAATTCAATGATGCACACAATCTAGACTATATAAAAGATGGAATTGTAGATCTCAACAAAATGGTAACTAGAGAAGGAGCTCGAGCAGGAAATGGTTTAGTCGAAAGAGGAAGGAGATCTTAACAAGAGCATCAAATTGTTACTAATCTAGAGGATCAAAATAATAAACAATAATAAACATAAATTTAGGCTCAATGAAAACTCCAAAAAATGAAGTCTTGAGGTGGGAGGAAGAAGAAGACTCAATAACAAGGGGAGTTCATTTTATTCATTCCTCCTAATACCCTCAAAAGAGAGTATTTATAATCTTAAAAGGACTTATAAAACATCTTTACTATCTATTAAATATTATTATACCCATAACTCAAAATAATAACCCATTACACTTATTGAATCCTAACAAAACTTTTGTAGATAAAAGACTTATCTATCCAAGGATAAATGTAAATAGAAGCGTGAGTTATCGACAATGACTATTTCTTTTTTCCATCATGAATCAAGTACAACTAGTTCTAAATCTAAGGATGTTACAACATACTTTTATGCCAAATTTAAAGTCTTGTAACTGCTTATGATCAAATTATATCAAAAAGAAAACAAAGAAGCGAACCTGGAGCAACATGGAAGCCTTTGCACACAGAATACCACCACCAAAGGCAAAGAGAGGGGATGAATTCACAGAACCCAGAAGTTTACTCGGTGAAGAATTAACAGTTATGGTCACATCATCCCCACCATCACCACTCATCAAGGACCACCCATCATCCAAGAATCCATTTATAGCATCATTAAAACCTCTGTACTCCATTTGTATTACCTTTGAGTTAATTAAATCAAAACGAAAAGCAATTAATATAGTTCGAACGGAAAATTTTACCTGCTTAACCTCTGACTAAAAGTCCTTAATACAGCAGGTTGACGACCACCACTATAAACAACTTCTCCACTTGTCTCATGTGCAATCTGCCTCAAATGCCGCAATGCCTAAACCATGTATTGCATAAAATAAATAAAAAAAAGGATAGTCATTATCTTCAAAACTGAGAGGGAAATTGGTACTTATAACAGCAAGAGATCAAACATACAGCAATGGTCATCTTATGTGCCACTATCTTTGGTGATTCATACAGAGGCCTTAGAACCTCAGGCACACTCTTTGCCTACATAATAAGATGAGCAAATTAATATGCTTCACCTAGAACTTCCTCGAAAAGCAATTAAAATCATAGAAAAACCTACATCCAAATCAACATGATCAACAATATGAATCATTGAGCCACCACCTTCACATGGTCTAATAAGATACCCGCTAGAAAGCATTTCTGCTCTAACAAAGTTTGGAGCAGGCGGTCCAGGAGGGCCGCCTGTTGAAGAAGTCAATGACCTCTCACAGATCTACAAAGACCAAGAATGACATAAAATTTTGTTGCATAGAGAGGAAAAGAACAAAATACACGTAATAAAGATGGAATTATGACAATGGTGAGAGTTAATTTACCACAAGACTCCCATCTTCAAGACCCGTGGTGTATCGGAGGGTCCAAAAGTCCCGAGCTGCTGCTAGGGTTGTAGGTGCATAGGTCTGTTGTTGAAAGCTTATGAGTTACAATAAATACCCTTGACAGAACAATCTAATAATCAATATTAGATGCACAGACCTGCATATATATCAGCTCAATATTCCCTCCATTTCCAGCAGGGATTAGTGTCGCAACATTTAGGCACCGGCAATCACGATACCAAGATGAACGAGCTTTAAGAATCTCTGCAACCTAAATTAATGAAAGATGTTATCAATAAGATATTAATACATACGCGGCATGAACAGAAATGTATTCGTAAAGTTGGTCTACCTTTGTGGGCTCTAAGCTCACAAGACCGCAAGCTCGTGCTGCCACTCCACTGCAATTGTGTGAAACAGCGATGATTCCAATAGAATCCGGACCAGGCTACATATTACATGTCAAAGAAATGAGATTATAATGCCACTTACAACCATAAACTACATCAAAATCATCAATAGCAAGTTCAGCCATGGAATTACCTTCATTCCAACCATTTGAACCCATTCGACAGAAGTTCCAGTTGCCTTTGAGAGGAACTCTGACAAAGTCTCCTCAGCTATAGCGAGTAGACTGAAAACAAAAGGATAAAAGAACAATCCAATATTACATGGAAATCCACATGTCAGAAAAATGAACAGTAAGACTCATTGAGGGGGGGAAATATAAACAATAATTACCCTGCTGGGTTGTTAGCATCCCTTTGAAAATGCTGCAATTTGGCGTTGTGCTGCTGTTGGTGCTGACCACTTGTAACTACAGACTCGCAGCTATTGTCTGTAGTTGCTGCAGATGCCTGGATATAGATGTTGTGATCAATGAAACAGTAGAACATACATGGACAGAAACAGCAGTGATTACCAAACACATTGGATTTGTTCAAAAAATTAAACTCCACTCTCTACTAAAAACAGAAGATAAAAAATAAAGATGAACACAGAGGAGATGAAATGCAGAGTTTGATCTTTGGAGTCATTACATGTGACCATCTTCATAATGACAAATAAGGGAACAAAACAATATAAAATCTTCTAATAAATACTAGGAATATAATAAACCTTTGGAGAAATTCTTCTAGTTGTAAGCTACAAATGCAACAACTAGTATTTGACTCAAAATGGGTAATGGAATTCAAGTGTTATCTTTTCGTGGAAGGGCTTTAAGCCACAGAACAACATATGGGAAAAAAAAAAAAAGCTTAAGGCATTAAAAGACAGCTCTGTAGTAGTAACCATTATTCTTTTAGAAGAAAATTTTTTGTTAATTGACGGAGAGTTTACAGCGATTTCAACTAAGTATTTTCAAAGTGCTAAATGCAATGGTATACACAAGGGCTCTTTTTCACTTTAATACACAGCAAAATGACTTTTATAAACTAGAGAATTCATGAATTATATATCATATATGTATATGTTATGAGCAAGTCATAGTCATTTAATTAGCTTAACTAAAAGCCATATCAGATTATAATTTTCAAGAAATATAAGGATACTTTCAATAACTATAATTTGCACTTGTTCAGGAGAGAAAAAATCAAAGATTAAAAATGAAGTGAGAAAAGCATTAAGTAACCAACTAGCAATCAAGAGGCAAAGGCAGAGGTAGTATGAAGTTAGAGAGTGAAAATGACGCATCGAGAAACATTCGATGGAAGAAGGTTGCAAGCAAGAAGCTATTAACAAAAATAGAAATCAATGAGTATCATAGAAAAACTAGTGGGGAAAAAAACTTGAAGATAATGCCAAGCAATAATGTAATCAAAATGCAAATCAAAACTCAATGCGTTAGAAGACAACTCTAAAAAACTAACTATTATTCCTTCCCGCAAGAGGTTTGTCTTTCTCTGATGGCAACAATATCAACTAATTACAAAATCTAACTTTAACCCTTGTCTTATTTTCTTTTGGCAAGGCTTCAACCAAAAGCTACCAGAAACTTAGATGAAGCGCTAGGACTGAATTAACATGCAAAAAGCTGTTATTAAGAACAGAGAAATGGCTGCAAGGATGGGCAGTAAAGAGAACATCATAAAATATGAAGAACTCTGGATTCCTGAGCATGCCAAAGGCAGCTGTGCTGGCAATACAGTAAATAAAATGTGTACAAAAAGAAAACCTTAGCTAATATGCATTTTAGATATATCAAACACGTTGGAGAGTAAAGATTTCACCAGAAAATTAACTTACAACATGAAGCTGTTGCCGCATGTATCCATTCTCATAAACTAAGTGGGACACCTGCTTCTGCAAGCGATCATTCTCCTCCATTAAGAGCTTGTTCAAAGCAGTTAGCTTTCTATTAACCGTCTGAAGACGAGAAGCTTCTTTTCTCTGCTTTTCACGGCACCTACAAAAGACAGAAAGAACGAGTATGTCATGCAACAAAAAAAGTTAGTTCAGTGCTTATATTCTGGAAAATCAAAGATACCTCAAGCCTTGTAAAAAAAGAATGCAGGCTAGCTTATGTTGGTATAATATCAAAGCGAAAAAACAAAGCAAATATAGCATATCATTCAATAGAATAATTTGGTCATAATTAATTCCTTAATATGTTATCTAGTTGCAAAGTTCAAGCAGTGAAACAATTGTTAGTTCTCTTTTCCCATAATCTGGCATTATTTGAACAATGATAGGGCAATTAAAGATCACTCCTTCCATCCAAAATTTATCAATTCAAGGAAACAAGGAATGAAATCATAGGGGCAGTTTCGCTACAAGTAGGACTTGGTAAATCTCGAGAGAATTAAAATCTAAAAAATTGTTTGGCTGACAGCTATTAAATATTGTTAAATCATGATGAACTATTTAGCCATTTGCTTCAGGGCTTAAAATTTGAGAGAGGTAGAAACTCTCAAATCCATTAAATCCAGTGAATGGATTCTAAATTAAACAAATAACATGGCAAAAAAATAGATTGATCAAAACAATTGGATTTAAAATTAAAAAAAAAAACTGCTTGGTGGGACTAACTAAATGAATGGCTTTTAAATGGCTTCCATCACAAATGAAATCTGCCGATTTGATTGACTAATCCTGCTGAAAATAAGATACCAAAAACCTCTTAACAATCAAACCTTTCCCAGAAGAAGTTGACAAAAAAACAAGGCATGATTCTTCGGCTTCGTTTGGGACGGCTTTCTTTCACAAAAAATAATTTTTTTATACTAAAAAGCTGTTTTGCGAAGCAGTAAGAAAGTCGTCCCAAACGAAGCCTTATTTAGGAACCGCAGAAGAAAAATTGTGAAATTGCTGCTTCAAAGCTTCATCTACCACAATGTAGACAGAGAAGAATGCTGCCTATGAAAAAGCTCTCATTGCTGTAAAAATCATTAGCAAAGGCTTCAAAAAAACAAGATGCTTACACCAGAAGAAGATCCAGTATCTTTTCACTAAAAAAAATTCTTTTTGGTTATATAGGCCAGAAATGTGTTTTTCGTGAACAAAAACGCTTAAAGGCCTAAACCCTTCACATGGCTTCGTATACAAAGAAACATCTTCAAGTCAGGCTTAGTTAAGAAGAGCAATAAACGGCAAAAAAAAGTGCACAGACGAGAAAGATCCAAGATTTACACTTGCTATCAGATAAAAATGAGATAAATTTAAGTTAACTAATCATTTATCAAAGCAAGTTCCTGATTATTTTCTCCAAAAAAAGATAAAAACAAATCCGAACAATAAGAACTTCATTCAAATCCCAAACAACTTCAATGAAAATGAAGAATGCAATTGCATGAACAGACGCAGACTTGGAATTGGAAATAATCAAAGAACCATCTTTATCGTTACCTGCGATTCTGGAACCAGACCTTGATCTGCTTGGGCTCGATATTGGCGAGTATAGGGCACTCCCTGATGAGTTGCTGCCTCCTTAATGAACTCGGCTTCGGACACTCCATATAAACCCTCTCAAGCGCCTCCACCTGCTCCGGCGTGTACCTCACGTACTTCCCCGCATCAATTTGCTGCAGCTCATGCAGCTGAGATTTCCCATCTTTCCCCGCCGTAGCCATCTTATCCAAAGCCCTAATCTTTACCCAGCAGATGAGAGCAGACCACAAATTAGAAAGCTCAAGAAACCCTCTTTCCACTCAGCCAGCCCTCTAAGCCCTCCCACATCAGAGCAGAGGAGAAGATGAGGAAGAAGACCAAAGCAACAAAAGAAAATCAAGCATCAATCCTAACCCTAACTGGCTCTTCTCACCTCCCACGCTGCTCATTTTCCGAGAGAAAGGAGAAAGCTTTAGCGCTCTAAGCCAGGCCAGCCAATGCATAAAATAAAATAAGTAAAAGAAGAACACAGTGGAGAGAGAAAGAGCGAAAGAGAGAGACAGAGCGCAGAACCTCTGCCATTTTTTTTCTTTATTAATTGCAATTGTTTAAAAGAAGAATAGAAGATTACTTGCGAATCTTTAAAAAAGAAGATTTTTTTTTTTTTAATTTGACTAGAAATGGCTGGGCGCTGGCATCTGCAGAGCTCTGGCAGCTGCAGTGGCCGCTGCTAGTGCCTAGTGCTGATTTTTTCTTCTAACTTTAGTGGTAAAAATATTGCAGATTTGTTTTCTAGCTATCCCATAACAACGATGTTGGATGATGATGATGATACGATTCATATTTATGTATGTGATGAAATGCATATGATGGACCATCATGTAGAGCCGGGCTTTTCAATTACCAATCTACCATAAACATTTTAAAAAATAATTAGTAAAATTTTAAATTTTTAATTTAGAGCTTTAGCTGCTTTTTATTTTGGGGTTAGTCAATGAAAAGGCTGAATGATTATGTCTGAAATGCTTGGATAGCGAAAACTCACATTTGAATATTTATTTATGGTATTACTATTCCCTGATTTAGTAGAAAAACTACATAGTTAGTAAATATTAAATATTTGGTGCATTTTTATTGTCCTTTTACAAATGCATAGTAAAAGGACAGTAAAAATCCACCGCTGCTTGTCCGGGTGGTGAAGAGCCAGCTGGACAAAGCTTAGGTCGTTGGTTTGAATCTCTTAATAAGCAGTAAAAACTTTAAGTGTTGGCCCATATAAGTTGGTGTGAGTTGCATGCTATGTTGACTGGGGCTTTCACTGGCCTAAGAACATTGCTTCCTCGTCACAAAAAAGGACAGTAAAAGAACAGCAAATCTGGACGATTCTCTCTGTCCGATATCCGCATAGAATAATTTCTCCCTAGTTAGATGAATAAAAGTAGCACTCAAATGTTCCCCTTTTCATTTAATAGGTTGAGCAAATAATACTTTAAATAATTATTTTTAAACTCTTTCAATTTGGATTTTGTTCATATCATAAAAGTTTTATCTTTATAGTTTCACCAATTTTAACTTTGAATTATGTGATGGTTTGTAAAAATCAATTGTTGCTTTTATTTTACACATACCATAAAATTTTCAATTTTGATATTTTCATTAAAATTGAATTTAATTTTGATAAAATTTTTAATATAAAGGTTATAAACATGTATTTATTTAAGATATAAAATAAAGAGAATTTTCTCATTGTGGTTCTAGTTATAAAACATGAGATTTAATGGAGTTTTATTAATAGAATTATAATGGAAATTTAGTGATTCCTTAAGAGCTTTAGTGAGGCTTCATCCAAAGCATTTGGGTGTCAATATTCAATACTATATCAAAATTATAGGGTGATTCAATCTAAAGAGCATGAACATATCATAATAGCATAACTACATTGGAGATGAATTTGGCCTAAAGAGTTTGACTAAATTAAAAAGACCCAAATAAAAGAGTATGATCAAATTGTAAAGGTGTATTCAAAAGAACATGACTACAATAAAGACTAATTTGGTTAAAAAAGCATAACCAAAATAAGGAGATCAAGGGCATGATTAGATTGTAATGGTGTAGTTAGAAGAGCATGACTACTCTGAGGATGAATTTGGCCAAAAGAGTGTGAGTAAATTAGAGAGTCCTTATAAAAAAGTATGATTATATTAGAATGACATAGTCAAAAGAGCATGGTTATATTAAAAATTAATTTGTCCAAAAAAAATATCCAAATTAGAAAAATTCAATCAAAAGAGCATGATTAAATTATAATGACATAATAAAAAAGAGCATAATTAAACTAGGAACCGATTGGATCAAAAGAATATGACCAAGCTATGAAGATTCTCAAACAAATGAGCATGATTGAGAGGAAGAGTAGTATAGTAAAAAGGCATGACTATAATATGAATATACTATAATAAAATAGCATGGTCATTTATGGAGATTCTTAATCAAAAGAGCATGATTGGTAGGAGTGAAAAGCATAATAAAAAAGATGATTGTATTATTAGTAGACTCAACCAAAGGGAAATGGATATGCTTATAAGAAGTTTAACTAAAAATATATAGTAATGCTATCAGGTCAAGTCATGTTAAGAGATTTAATCATGTTGATGATTTGCATGCTAGTGGTGTAAAAGCGGATATGCCAAAGCGGTCTATAAACAATCTTGAGTGGGTTTTGTGATATTTATATCACCTGAAGTTAAAATAAAAGCTAGGGCTAAACATTCTAAAATGTTATATAAGCTAAACCCCCACTAGTTAACCTACCAATACTAGTTTTCTAGTGTGCTAATAAAATGTAGAATGGAGCTTAACCCCTATTAATTAACACAAATTGTATTGAATGTCATTTGCTTGTAAATCTTTTTATTAATATCATAATATTATATTATTCATGTAAGGACTTATTATTGGTTAAAACTATTGTTGTCAGGTCTAAAGCTCCGGATGAGAAAAGTGGAGGATTACTTTACATAGTTGATAGCTAATGCAAAACTTATTGAATATTTCTGGCATGGATCATTTAATATATTATGCTAATACCAGGGTGTTTCATAGAAGTGATATGTTATATGACCTGAATACATTGAGCAGTGTACAAGGGTAGCTACACTGGCTCTCGGGTGCAATTTTAAATAAGCTAGGGTTCCTATATCATGGATATGAGCAAAGAAGCTAGTCCATAAAACTAGAATTATGATAGAAACTTTGAATATTGGTTATCTTACGGGCAAATTAATATAACTAATAGATATTAAGATTCATAAGAACATTAATATTTTATGTATTCATGAAAATAAACGGGTTAAAGAGAAGACTAAGGAGATTGATAGTTTATGATTTAAAATTTGATATTTAGGTATGCATCATATTAGAAATGACATAGATGTGATTATATATAAGAGTTTGAAGGATAATGTTATTAAAATTAATAGAATTAGAGATAGAATTATAAATTTAAAGATTAATGTTGATGTTAAGATTATTAATATTATAAATGTTTATGCTCCTTAAATATGTTTAGATATGTTTTCAAAATTAAAAATTTGGAATGACTTAAGAAATTAATACAAATGATACATCTTTAAAAAACTTTATATTTTTATTGGAGTTTTAAATAGATATATTTATAAAGTGGCAGAATAATTTAAAAGTACTTATGACGGCTATGAGTTTGAAGTGATTAATAAAGGTGGTAGGGTCATATTAAATTTTACTCTAGTTTAAAATTTTATAATTGCTAATACCTTTTTTAAGTAATAAGAAGAGCATATCATCACTTATAATAATAGATATAGTAAAACTTAGATTAATTTTTTTATAAGAAAAATAGATAATTTATATTGCAAATATTATAAAATTATTCAAAGTGAAAGTTTATGCACCAAGCATCACTAAATAGTTTTGGAATTTAAGATGAAGGGACAAAATATAAAAAATAAAGTAAAATATTATTTTAAGATTAGATGGATATTTAAATATCACAAACAAAAATATTTTGATAGTAAGAGATCTTAATATTTTGACTACGTATACGAAAGTTAATATTATGTGAGAAAAGTAACTTGTAATATTAAAAATATTGTAAAAGATGTGCTTTAAGTATCGAAAGAAAATCAAATAATTATGAAAATAGTTGGTGGTTAATTCAAAATATGTTAAAAAGGATTAAAAATAAGAAGTTTTACTATAAAAATTAGTTTACATATAAAAGCTCAAAAAATTGGTAAAGTTTAAAAAAGTAATATGTTATGCAAATAATTTATATTGTAATGATTTATATAATATGTTAGATACTAAGTATGGCAACAGATATATGTATAAGTTAGCCAAGTAAAGAGAAATGAGAAGAAAGGATTTAGTTTAAGTGAAGTGCATTAAGAATGAAGATAAAAATGTTTTTATTAGAAAAGTATATTCAACAAAAGTGTATGAGATATTTTGATAAGCTTTTCAATAAAGATTGTGAGAATACAATTGACAGTGGAGGCCTTAGCACCCTAAATATAAATAGAGATTTTTGCTTTTATCATCATATTAGTAAAGCCCAAGTTAGATAGGCTTTAAAGAAAATGAAGTGTGGGAAAGTTGATGGACCTGATGATATTCCAATATAGGTGTGGAAATGTTTAGGAGATGAAGGAAATTCTCGGCTTATGAAACTTTTCAATATGATTTTGAAGACTAAAAAGATGCCAAATGATTAGAGGAATGCATTGATTCGTATTTTTAAGAATAAAGGTGGTGCACAATAGCATACATTAAAAGTATGGGAGTCATGCTCATCGCAATAGTGATTACAATTTAGCAATAGATTTCATAAAGGCTTGATGTTGTTGTTGTTGTATTAAACTTTTCAATATGATTTTGAAGACTAAAAAGATGCCAAATGATTAGAGGAATGCGTTGATTCGTATTTTTAAGAATAAAGGTGGTGCACAATAGCATACATTAAAAGTATGGGAGTCATGCTCATCACAACAGTGATTACAATTTAGCAATAGCTTTCATTTCATTGCAAAATCTCATAAATGTTATAGCGAAGGGTCATGTATTGGGCAACATGTTGAATGTGGTAGAACAGTTAGACGGAAGTTGTTTGAACATTAAGAGATAAATTATATAAAGAAAATGACTTATGCTCTTGAAAATAAGATAAATCTGGATAATCAGAACAACCTAAAATAAAGCGAGATAATATAAGCAAGTCTCAAAGTGGTCAACACTAGTATTATATAAAACTAAATCCATTGGAGTTGGGTAGCCTTTTAAACTCATTGGAGTTAGCATACTTGGTAGATTCATAAGAGTTTATAAGCTTGATGGACCTTTCAAAAAACATTCATGCTTTTCATTGTTAATAGGATCAACAAAATTCTAGATAAAACCAGACTTCTTATGCTAGGGGATAAAAAAATTATCAAAGTTCTCCCTAAAGTTTTAAAGACAAGCCACTTTTATTAGAAAATTAGATTTCAAGTTATCTACCCATGGCCTAAGTCATAGCAATCAAATATAGGCTAGATTGACAAACTATGCTCAAGTCAATGGAAGATAGATTTGATGATGCATATGCAAAGT